CTATGAATAAGTTGTTAAAATGAAGAAGTGGAAATGCAGAAGAAAATGCAATAGACTAAGGGAAAATTTACCTAAATAGAAATAAAACATAATGACATTCTCAATATAGGACCATATATTTTTATTTTCTAATGTAGAATCATTGGTCATTATCCATTAGTCATTATTCAAGTAAATGTCCACTATCACTGGACATTATTCATCATACTAGACATTATTACTATTTAAGGAATAAAAAAGTTTAAATGTAACACCCCAACCCGCGAAACCCGAAACAACGAGTTAGCGAATCGGGTTGTCACTAACTTGGTATTCACATTCATAATATTTTAAAAACATTTAATAATAAAATATCAATTAACATTTATTTAAAAATAATTCATAATCAATCGGAGTAAATAATTCAAACGTTGCGGAAGCCTTTAAAACAACATCGTCAAACATTCTTGTTGTTTAACAAAATAGAAGTCAACAAGTATTTTATTCAATTTCAAACAGCTCAGGCCATCCACCAGCGTCACGCTTCACTGTCCTCCAGGCTGCTCCTCATCCAATCCTTGATCCCTACCTGTAAAAAAAGGGAGAGTGGAAGTATCTAACGCTAAAACTAGCACCCATTAATGTATAATCAAACAATATCAAAAGAATCAGCAAATATCATTACCCAACTGTACCACTATATATCCTTATAATTCAGTTTAGTTCTTATGCATACTTACTCCATTTGCCTTCTAATACAATCCAATTCATACTTACGGGAGTAATGGAATCCAGGCTCTCGCCCAAACCCACACTCATAACTTCAAAGTTCTCACAATGGAAGGGGTTGAGGCCTTCGGTTTTTTTGTTCAGTTTGGAATAGGATCGGATGCCACTTCATTATTACTACTAATATTTATTATAATATTATATTACAATATCTTTTTCATTTATTATTAAAGTGTAATATCTATTTTACTCGCCACGCTTTACATGTATATCCAAATTTAACAAATTATACACCGTTAATCACCATTTTACGAGATCTACCCGAAAACCTAACTTTTAATTAAAATGGTTAACTTTACAAATAATTCATATTTTGGTGTCAATAAACAGTAAATTGATTCATTATTAAAATAACGGCTAAATACTAAGTCGGTTTTCAAGGCGTTACATTAAGTCCTACATTGGGAAATAACATATTTTTTAGTCCTATTTAGTACAAATTTTACATAGACTAAATAACTAACAAAGACGGGATCTTGAGACCCTAGTTACTAATATACGGTTGTTGTATAATACGTCAATACGTATGTTCGTGTATAATACGTTAGAATTTTATAAAATACGACTTATTATACATATTAAACGTTCGGCATACGGATACATATACATACGCGTTTTAAACATTTTCTATTTTTAAAATACATCTTATTATATGATTATATATATTATCATATCTACGTCAAATCTACACATATTTATTGATTGATAGCCATCAATTTACATTAAGGTAAGTAAACAAAATACAAAAATCTTTTAAATGAAATATTTACAATAGATTTTTTCAAATTAGAATCTCTATTTGTTTAAAATATTTATTTGAAAAAAATATATACTCCAATCATTAGGAACAAAATCCTTATTTAATTTTCATGTACGTAATTTAACAATGTTAAAAAATAAAAACCTTATAGTTTGAATATGTTTAGGAAAAAAGAAGAGTTGAGAGTCACTCATTCCTTTCTTAAAAAAAATGAATTTTTTGAGACATACAAAAAAAGAAAGAGTGAAGTCTTTTTTTTGAACTAGACAAAAAAGTTTAAACTTTTCCTGTAGAATATAGATTGTAACACCCTAATCCGTCCAGGTCTGCAGCCCCATTCGGACTAAAGTATTTAACTTGGTAATCGTAAAAATTTAAACCTTTTCAAACACACTTTATTAATCCCAATAATATTTTTCAATACATATACAATACGGAGTATTCAACAATATTGCGGAAGCGATTTTAATATTGAAATATCATAAATTATTTCAAAACTTGTCACATCCATCCCGACAATCTCGCCCCATCTGCCGCCAGGATCACATTCTGCTTTCTGCTTACCTGCGTGTAGCAAATAAAACACACGACACGCTCAGCGGTAAAGCTGAGTAAGCATATCTAATGCGTCGAACATCCATATAAACTGAATCTAAATTCATAATCAAATCATTTGATATCATGCACACAATGTTCATTTCAGACATTCACAGTTTTGGTATTGTTCAGTTCATATCAATACATTTTATTCAATTCAGATACTATTTCAATAGTGCTCTTAAATTATTCTTAATCTAAGGCCAGATTATAACAATGCTCTTAGCTATTCTTAGTCTAAGGCCAGATCATAATAATGCTCTTAGCTATTCTTAGTCTAAGGC